ATTGCGTTTAGAGAAAACATCTGTTGTACAGGGCTAGTTTGCACAGTTACAATTAATTAAAAAGTTAAAAAATCAGCCCTGGCCAGCATGGCTCGGTTGGTTGAGGGTCTCATGCACTGAAAGGTCACCAGTTCAATTCTTGGTCAGGGCACATACCCAGATTGTGGGTTTGATTCTGGTCAGTCCTGGTACATGTGGGAGGCAACCAATCAACGTTTCTCTCTCACATTGATGTTTCTCTCTCTCTCTCTCTCTCTCTCTCTCTCTCTCTCTCTCTCTCCACCTTCTTCTCTAAAAAAACAGTAAAAACATATTTTTTAAAAAGTTAAAAATCAGAGTTATGGGTCATTGAGAAAGTTGTAGACAAAACAGCCTAGTTGACTAACATTTTTACTTTTTGATCCATTGTGGGGGCATTAGCTCTGCACAAACGGAAGCATGCTCATCCATAACCAGTACTAATTCCTCTAGAAGTCCTCCTAGCCAATAGGTCTGGCTTGAGTAATCATTGAAGAGTGCTACGTTTTCTTACACTTGTAATATAAAGAGGACTAGAAAAGGAGGCTAATCCTTATAAAGGTGAGATAGGCCATGGATATTTTTACCTGGACAAATGGTATTTTGAAGAACTAAAGTATAAAACTTTAGTAAGGATGGATTTATTATTTATCTTGTTCATGTTGTTAGCATTTTCATTTTCAGTTTTGATATTTTATGGGCTATATACTTAAGTTGATTGTGGATTAATAAAAAAAATAAATTTTCTCCCCAGAGGGGTCGGTTCTATTGCTTCAAACGAGATAAAATCTTATTAGAATGAATAGACTTTTTTTTTTGGTCACATTGAATTTTTATGTACAGATTTTTTTTTTAGCATCTTACCAGCACCAGCTTTGTAATTTACTTTCTGCAAATAGAACTCTCTCTTTTTAAAAAAATGTTTTTATTGATTATATCTCTGAACACATAATAATCTGGCCACTCAGTGTGTGTGTGTGTGTGTGTGTGTGTGTGTGTGTGTATCTCTATATATATATATATATTTTTTAATTTTTTTTAGAGGCCCAGTGAATGAATTTGTGCATGGAAGGAGTCCAGCCAACCTGGCCAGGGGGAGGGGACATGGGAGGTTGGCTGGTCAAACTCCTGGTTGAGGGGACAATTTGCATATTAGCCTTTTTTTATATATAGGATATACACTGAGTGGCCAGATTATTATGTGTTCAGAGATTATAATAATATGGTCACTCAGTTTATATTATTGATTTCAGAGAGGAAGGGAGAGGGAGAGAGAGATAGAAATATCAATGAGAGAATCATTTTTTTGGCTGCCGCCTGCAGGCCCCCTACTGGGGATAGAGCCTGCAACCCACACATATGTCAGGGTTAACTGGAATCAAACTCGGGACTCTTCAGTCCACAGACCGATGCTCTATCCACTGAGACAAACCAACTAGGGCTATAACTCTTAACAGTTGGAGGCATTTATGTTACTAAAAATTTTATAAACAAATGGCAATGTGGCCACATTTTATACTTTTAAACTTGAATTTTACTTCTGTAATGAGTATGTATCATTGGGGATTTCAGTCTGTAGTTGAGAAGAACAGGACTGTAATTGTGAAAACACATTCATTTCTGTAAATTGCATCCATTACAAGCATCACTCCCTATCACGAAAAGCAAACCAGGATGAATAATTGTTCTCACTGGTTCTGTTTCACAACCTGCCCTGAGGAAAACATCAATGAAATTGCATTTTTTTAAGGTTGTTTAAAACAATAAATTAGATATTTAAAAAAATATATATTTTTATACATTTAATAAAAATATATCTTTTATACATTAAAATTTAACTTGATAAATTTTTATTAGATAATTTTATTCCTTCTCTCCTGTGGGCTTTTTTTTGTTGTTGTTCTCCCACACACACTGCCAGCCACCGCCTATCAGGATCTTTTCCCCAGACACTGTGTGTAACTTAAGGAGGAATCGTGTCTGTTTCCCTCAGTATCCCAGGCGGACATTTCCAAAAGTACTTCTCATCGTGTCTCCTCAGAAGGTCTGAAAAAGCATTTGGGGCCATAATGGATTTATCAGATTGTTATGGTAGATGATGGGAGTGGAACATTTCCCTGCTCAACAACAGGCAAGAAAACAACTGACTTTGTATGTCAATCAAGCAGAATTGATTCTGAAGTTTATCACTTTGCAGGATGTGTCAGGTCTGTTTGGTAATCTGTGGTCACAAATGGCTGTTAGAATTCATTGCAAACCCCATGCCATGGTTGGACTGACCTGCTGGCAAAGTCATGCAAAGGCAAATTAGGGCCCCTGGTCATCTTGTTCCAATGGGGATTGGCAGCCCACAGGGGGTTTCAGAGCACTAGATGGCCCTGTGCCACAAAAGAACCCCCTTTGTCTGTGAACTATCCGTTTTCACCACTGTTATGATTCTGGCACAGTTCACATTTGGAGCCTTAGCATTTATTTCTTCAGTAAAAACGAGCTTACTATTTCCGCAGGAAAGATGGGAGGAAGCAGAAGACACCGGGCAGGAAGAATGGGAGCAAAATCTTTCTTAAACAGGGTCCTGGAGATTAGAGACAAACTTTGACTCCTGACCATTCTGCATAAGATCAGTCCCGGCATAAATCTGTCCCATGGAAGTTAGCCAAAGTGAGTTAAGTAAGGACATACAGGGCAGGAATTACTCTCCCTTTTGTTATTTCTGAAACCTGAACTGCTTTCAGAAATAAAGGCTGGAATGTTCCATAGGAACTCAGAGCATGGGACACAGGGGCACTCTGTGTGGGCTATTTAAAAACCAGTTCCTTGGCTTCCCTCTGTGATTCTAAATACGTGTAATCACATTACCCTGCAGCAGCCGGGAACTATTTCTATAACATTGACCAGCATCTGTGCTTGCTGAGGCTGGTCCACCCAGCAAAAACAGAGTGGAGATGTGCTCACTTTTGATCAATTCAGGCTTTCGGTGTTAGAGCTAAAGTCCAGCTAGTGTGGAAATATCAGAAGTATGTGCTGACTGACATACTTGAATTTTATGTAGGCTGTTGACCTCTTGAATTTTAAGACTTATCTATTTAACTATCCTGGGAGGAGGGGTGGAGGGGATGCTCTAGCTAATCAAAAGGATGCTTTTAAAAAGTTATTATTAATTTTAATATATTTTTATTGATTTCAGAGAGAGAGAGAGAGAATGGAAATATCAATGATGAGAGAGAATCATTGGTCCTACTGCACACCCCCTACTGGGATTGAGCCTGCAATCTGGGCATTTGCCCTGACTGGGAATCTAACTGTGATCTCCTGGTTCAAAGGTCAACACTTAACCAGTGGGCTGAGCAGCCTGGGCAAAAAGGATGCTTTTTAATGAGCCATTTATTTATTTAACAAATGAACAACAGCACAATTTATCACTTACTCAGATACAACCAATTCTTATTATATGGAAGAATCTCAGCATTGGAGACCTTGATACTTTAAGTGCTAAAGACTATTTTTTTGGAGTTTGTTCAATGTGCTAACACTTCCCCTAATTATATCACTAGCCATTAATCAAACTCATAAATCCCTTAGGAATAGTCTACTCAATTGTAAATCATTCAAAGACATTAGCTAGTAGAAGGGCATTAACCAACACTGTTACATAATATCAAAACACCTGATCATCTTTGTGAATTAATAAAGTAATTAAACCAGTTTTGGCATTTCATATAGACAAAACAATAGGTCAAGAGATTTTTTTTTAGCTATTTGTAAACATTTAAAACCCTACCATTTATAAAATGTGTAACCATTTGGTCCTAGGCCAAACATTTCATCTACTAAAATCTTATTTATCTCTGATAACAATCTTTTAATGTGTTGTCACTTCCATTTCACAGATGCGAAAACTGAGGCTCAGAGAGATTTAGTCATTTGCACAAGATTACAAATCTAGTTTCTAGTAAGTGATGGGACAAAATTTACACACAGATCTCTCTAATTTCAAAACCATGCTGTCTGCTTTGTATGTACAACCTCACACAGCCAAAATGGCCAATGAAGGCAAGACAACAACAACAACAACAACAAAACCTTGGGTCCTGAATCATGCAGTTAAGATAACCCAAACTCAGTTCATCCGCGATTCGATTCCCTCTTGACGCATGTTAACGACAGCCCCGAACTGTTGCTTGACATCTAAGCACAGGGGACCTTTTGACTTCCACATGGTCCTGCTCTGAGAACTAGCACTCCAATAGCCAAACATTACACATCAGAAAAAATTGTACATGTGACATTATGCCTGTGGGGAGACCTGAGTGAAATATTATTTTTTGACTATTTTGAGACATAGACTCAATATGTAGTTCCCTTGTGGCTAACTCAAAACACAACAGCAGAGATTAATCCTTTGCACTATCCTATATTAATATTTTCTTTCCCTTCTTGAAAGGGAACTAATTATAAATTAGATAAGATTAGAAAACAATCTCCCCAGAATTAATCTTTTATGGAATTACCTAGAAAGAACCAAGTCCTCTCCCCCCACCCCCCCCCACCCATGGTAAATCACACAGAGTAGCAGCCTGCCCCAGATCCCCGGGAGACAACATCTTGAGCACATATGTTATGCTGGGTTCTGTATTGACTAATTCAAAAACTCCAGGGCAAAATAACCAAAGTTCCCAAGTCAAAAATGAAAGTAAAATAGTGGAATGAAATTGGAATCATTATGGCAACGTTCCCACAACTTCATGCATAGCCATGGAAGTAGACAGCATTACAGGTTAGTGAATTTCCCGTTGCAAGAATCAACCTGCAGCGTTGGTGTCACGCTTCACACAAACCCGTGGACCTCTCACTTTACTGATAATCTTTTTCTCTCCAGAAATATAATCACATTCAACAAAATTAATATTAAGATAGTTTTACTAGAGGGCTTATCCAAATATATGCTATATTTAAAAATAGTTATGATAAATATTTCTCACAAGAGCTGCAGCGATGGTGTGAATAAAAAACTCCCTTCTGAGATTTCAGTAAAACCAGATCTCACAAAGGATCTGAAAGAAAACAAACAGACAGACACACACAAAGAGAGACACACACACACAGAACAAACCTTGTGTTAATCCGATTTAGCAAAAACAAGTCACTATTTTGACACTATTTTTATGAAGTACCATTACTGTTCCTTCCCAGATGAAGTAGGAGAAATGAATCTGCCACAGGTTTCTCATAATAATGTTCAAGGGTGGGGGGTACCTAAGCATGTTCCGTAGCAGCTAATCAAAATCAAAATCTCTAAATGCAGCAAAATGTTAGCACTGTCAACTGGCCAAGTGTGCGAGAGGAATCTCTCTCTCCATGCCCTCCTACCAGTACATACAAAGCCCCAAATACACTGGCTGGAATTTTTAAATCGTAAATTAGATAGCAAATGCTTACGGGCCTTACAATGAGATAACATCAGGAGGCACGGTGCGTGGAATGGATCTGGCATTCTCACATAAAGCATTATCTTTGGTACAAGTACACACGGCAGGGCATTTTGGCTTCGCTGGTTTCTTCCCCTCAGTCAGCAAAAGCGCAGATAAGAGACATAGGCAATAAGCAATTCTTTTCAGGGGGATGCAGGCATTTCCCATCCTCTGGCTTCTCTCTGATTCCATGCAGTCGGAAAAATCTCCCCAAACATGAACAGGGCTTCTGGAATTCAGCTGGTGCTTGTCTTTGCTCTGAGATCAGGTCACACAGGAGTCCACCCTTTTCCCTTTGCCTCTGTATCTCTGCTTTTCAAACCGGGGACCTGCAGCTGATTCGTGAGCTGCTCCTCGATCCAGCAATGCACCGCTCGGGGAAGAGACCTGTGAGGTGCTGCGAGATGGGAGGGATCCAACTGCCGGAGCAGAGAGCCGACTTGCATCACCAGGAAAACACTGAGCGCAGACCAGCCTTCGAAGGCAAAGTGAAGTGATGTAACAGAAAATAAACAGCTTTCTGCTTGCACCGGGAGGCCCTGTAATTGTTACCAAAAATAGGACGGCGTTATGTCTTATTAGTGAGTGGGTGGGCGCGTGGGTGGCAGCAGTCATCTTGCCTCGGAGCTCGGCAATCTCAGAAACCTCTGGGAATTTGCTTTTCGTGTGGCAAACAACCCAGTCAGAAAAACTGGCTTTGAACCCAGCCCTGGCTGAGGAAAAAAAATGAAGTTAAATCAAACTCCCTCTCTCTGCAGCATTTGGCTAAAACCTTGGGCTGTCTTGCTGAATTCACCTGACTAATGCCACCGTTGAAAGACAGATAAGAACACACGGAGAATGTGACTTTCAGGGAATGAATGTAAGTACTTTCCTGACATTTATCAACAGTCATGAATTATCGGTTTTCATAGCCCCCCCCCCCCCCCCCCCTTCGCTGTGCAAGCCATTCCCTCCTCCTGATGAGGGAGGGAAATAGAAGCACAGACTGGCTCTGTGCATAATCCACCTTTCTTGCTTCTGGAACTCCTTCTTTAGCAGTAGCACCCAACGCCTGGCAGGAACTTTCTGCCAGCTGGAGGCAGCCAACTTGGGCTTCTCAGGGCTCTGAAAGAGGCCTGGCTTAGCCCAGGAGGCAGAGGCAGGGTGGGGAGAACACTGGACCAAGAGCCGGAGACTTGCTTTGATCTAGCCCGTATCTCTGGATCTCTTCCCCTATCGTCAAGTGGGGATGATATCTATGTTCTATAAATATTATGAACATTAAATAAAAATGGTAGACTGGACTGCTGTCGTATTTGGGAAAGAGTATGCACCTTTAGAATGGAAATTCATTTAAAGAAGAAACAAATGACGTGCTGGCTTTGGGCAGGGCGGTGTAGTCCAGGAGCTTGGGAAGACTTCTAGGATGGAGACCCTGGCTCCTCTTACCATGCTGGCCCAGGGATGTCAACCCATGACCTTTCTCTCTCAGCTTCTTAGATTAAAAGTAGTAAAATACTTGTTTGAGCAAATGTGTGATTAGGACATAAATTCTTCCTACATGGGGACCTAATGCATGGACAGTCTATCCGTTTCCTCTTGCCCCACAATGACTTCAATCACTCATTTAATTCCCTGGAAGCTCGGTGAGGAGAGAGCAGTGGTTGGTATTCTTGTACTTAACACTGTCTGTGTACCTGGAAGACAGGTGGCTCCATGTCTGTTTACCTGGAAAAAGGTAGATACCCTGCTGTGAATCAGTGCCTAGACAGTGTTGTCCATGCAGTGAGCCACCCATGAACCCTCATGAGCAACCATAGAGTGAAAAGGCTCTTCTGGTCAAGATGTGCTCATCAAGGGAAACTTCACATCGCACCTCAGAGTTATCATAAAGGAGTCTGCCAACTCCCTGAAGAAGTAAAGAGAGAGCAGAGTTCCAGGATAGGGGGGATGAGAGAATTGGGGAGAACATTGTAGGTGGAGGGAACAGCACATGCAAAGGCCTGGCCACCTACCTGGCAGGACCCTGGAGAACAGTGGGAGACCTCTGGAGTGTCTTAGGCAGGAAAGTGATATATCTGGTTTGTGCTCCAAAAGGACCAATAAATTATTATAATTAAGACAGTTTTTAAAGGTTTATAAATGTAATTTTTATAGAAAAGAAAAGGAAAACTCCATCCAAGAGAAGTGATTTTAGAATGGATTCTACTGGTTCCCTGTCAAGGATTTTCTGGAGGGAGGGAGTTATCATAGTGTTCTTAGAAACTGTGACCTATGGGCAAGCCCCATAGGCAACAGTGAAAGTGTCATTTAAAAAATTGGCCGAAAGTCAGTATTTTGTACATTGGATCCTGCATCAAGTACACAATGAAAATGTGCACTATAAAATAAATATGTGGCGGAAATTTTATAGAGAGGATCATTTTTATTCAAACAATCACCTCCCCCCTAACTTATCTCACTTGTAAAGGATGTCTTTTGTAGCTATAAAAATAAAGACTCTGAGAACTTGAAGGTCCTTAGAATTCTCATACCCAATCTCCATATGTTACAGATGGGTAAACTGAGGCACTAAGAGGTAGCACAGATTGCAAATGGCAGAGCCACCACCCTGCATAGGGTGACCCTGGCAGATATTTGGTTAAACTGGTGGATATATGAAAGAAAAATACCACATGATCTCACTCATTTATGGATAATAAAGAATATTATAAACTGATGAACAAAAAGATAGATACAGAGACAGTAAAACACCAAATAGACTAATTACAGCGGGAAGGTTAGGGAGAGGTGTGGGAGATAAGAGATCAACCAAAGGACTTGTATGCATGCATATAAGCATAACCAATGGACACAAAACACTGGGGGGTGAGGGCATGTATGGGAGTGGGATGGGGGGGGCAATGGTAAGATATGTACACATATAATACCTTAATGAAAAAAATGGGGGGGAAACTGGTGGATATAGTCAATCAGGATAATTCACTCCCTATGTTCCACTTTCAGATGTGTTATCAAGATTGCTTCATCAGCGCTTGGCTTTGTGCTCTGTGGATATAAAGAAACGGTGAGTGGTCTTTCAAACTCTCTGACTTGGTTAAGCTGGGAGGGCAGATGAATGAGGGAAAGAAATCATACCATAACTATTCCACTATTCACTGTGCAGCTGAATTTCTCTGGCGGTTCAGTTGGTCAATTTAATTGGAAAAGGACCATGATGGGGCGGGGGAGGGGGGGTCGCCTCAGAGAAAGGGGCGGGGGAAAGAGGGATCCTAAGGACAAGTTACAATGGGCATTCTGAAAAGACAGTAACTTTTTCTTTTTCTATGGCATTTGAGCCCAGACTTGAATTCCCTATTCAACTAAGATCAGGCAGAATTTTAACTGTAATGCAGAATGCTGATGGCCATTTAGGGAGAGAAACCACTCCTGCCTCCAGAATTGGGTCTGAGAAGGGGACTACAGAGAAGAGGGCAGGTGGCTACACTAAAGCCCTGAGGAGTCTGGGGTGGGGTCTTTTGCTGATGAAGCTTCCTTTCCTGACCAATCCTCTTCCAGAAGCCCTGGCCAGGTCCAGAGGGGCTGTGGGAAGTGGGAGGGTGGAAGCCTACGGGTTTCCCATTTGAAAGCCTTTGGATAAGGTTTGGCACCCCACCTGGGGCTTTGGGAAAGGGCCTCAAAAGGAGGAAAACAGAACTGAAGGAGGCCCAAGGAGGCTGAAGGCCTTGGCCAAGGCAGCTCAGTGCCCAGTCCTAGCTGTAGAGGAGTGGCTGAGCGGATCCAGGGCTGGCTCTTCACACGGGCCAGCTACTTAATCTTCCTAGGCCACAGTTTTCTCCTGTGTGAAATGAGGATAATACTCGTATGTGCCACACAGAATTTTTGAGGAAATGAATGCAGTGATGCGTCTAATGTGCTTAGCAAGGGGTCTGATCCCATGAGATCGATTGTCATCGTGGTTGTCGTCATCATCATCATCATCATTGCAACAGGACTCGAATTCTGAACATGTCACTCCTGATACCTGGGAAGCAAAGCTCTCACATAAAAATGGGTTTAGCTTAAATGTATGCTCACTCTAGAAAGCAGGCACTTCTGGGCAGGATGACAGACTGTGGCTTTGCCAAGAATCTTTTCACTTGGAGGAACCAAGGAGTCTCCTGGGAAAGAAAGAACTTACCCATCTGGATGAGAGTAGCAACATCCAAACTTAGTCCAAGGACAAGTCTGGAGCTGAAGAAAGAGAAGGTGGTCTGAGTGCAGGGTAGACATTATGTTCTGCCCCCTGCCCTTGAACATGTGTAAGTTAGAGAAGGTAAGAGAGATCCACCTTGGGATCCTTGTAGTAAAAGGAGTTCTGTCCAGTTTGGTGTGCACTGTGGCATTGCCTTTGAGAACTGTGGTACTGGAGATGCTGTAGGATGTGAGACCAGCAGCGTCCCTATCCAGGCCCTCAGCTCACACATCACCAAAGTCACTGGATTTTCCACCAAAAGCAGCTCCCTTAGTGGCCGAGCAGCAGTGACAGCTCCACAGATATCAGAGGGACTGGGGAATGAGCAGAAGAGAAGGAAAATGAGGGGCAAAGTGTGATGTTTGGGGGCAAATGTGCGTTTCCTAGGCATCCTCAGAAACTGGAAGGGGTCTCTGTGGAGGGTTAGACAGTTCTGTGAGAGCCAATGAGAGCAGAGAAAGAGAGAGAGAGGAACAGCCTGTGCCATAATTCTGATCTCAGTTTTCCCCTCAGGCTGCTGTGGCCTAGGAAACACACTTTGGACAAGTAAACAAATCATTATTATGAGACTTGAAAGATCCATCTTGGCCCTGCCTCCTTTTGCAAACACTCAGACATGCAAACGGGTGTCAGTTTAAGCAGCTTTCTCAATAGAGCAGGGTTTTTGAAGCTGCAAGTCAGACACGTTAATGAGTTGCAAAATCAATTTAGGATAAGCAGATTGTATAAGCAGAATTTTAAAGAATGAAATAGTTTTGGCCTTGGCCGTGTAGCTCAGTTGGTTAAAGTGCTGTCCCTGTATGCCAAGGTTGTAGGTTCAACCCCAGATCAAGGCACATACAAGAAGCAACCTATGAATGCATTAAATAAGTAGAACAATTGCTATTTCTCTCTCTCTCTCTCTCTCTCTCTCTCTCTCTCTCTCTCTCTCTCTCTCTCATCAAGAAATAAAAACACTTTAAAAAGAGTAATTATT